TTCTGTACATCTTCTTTAATATCCCCTGTAGATCTCTTCCTTCTTCAAACGCTTTTAGTACCCGGAGTCTGGATCACAACATTTAGTGTGTACGAGTCCTGACGTTACTTGGGCTTTGTTTCATGCTTGCTGCTTGCGCTTCTCCCCGTATTACACAATACCTCCTGGTAGCCTGTCTTACACCCAGTAGCTTTGCTCCGCCCACCCCTCCCCTAAATTGCCCCTCCCGCCAGCACTGGTAACCACTAGTTTGTCCTCTGTACAGTGAGTCTTGCTTGCCATTGGCTTTTGGAAACAAGGTAGCAACCTGCAATCTGGGGGCAGGTTGGAAGTGCAGAGCAAGCCCCACCAGAAGAAGGCCCCAGGCGGCTCCTTCGCCTGCCAGCAGCTTCTTTTGTGTCCTTCGCCAATAAAACGGTCCAGGTCAGGGCTCAGCAATCTTTCCCATTAAAAAAGGAAAGAAAATTAGTGTATCATGTTTTTGCCAAACCAGCATCTGTTACCATGGAAACCTACAAGACTCTGAAGTTAGTAGCAGAAAACCCTGGGTCTGGATCCACTTTGCCTTCAGTGTCACCTGGTGTCATCACAGGGTCTGGATGTGTCTGGGCCACTGGGCCCTGGTTGTTGTTAGAAACGATTTGTGACTTTTATACTGGGATCTGGAAAAATCCGCATCACATTTGTTTAGGCTGAATGCTCCGCACGCGTGGTGCTAACACAGAACGTGCACGGGAAGAGGGCGCCAGGCGGGGAGGACAGCCCACCGCGGGAAGGGTGAGCAGCCGGGCCGCGCCCCACCCCGGAGGTTGAGGTGTGGGCGTTTTTCTCCCATCGCAGCGCCGGGGAGCAGGAAAGCAGGGTGCTGGGAGGGGGTTCCGGACCCGTTCGTTCTGCGGACAGCTGTGGGGCCGGGGCCTGAGCCGGGCAGTGAGCGCTCAGAGGTGGACAAACAGCTTCGCCCTCACCCGAGTGAATGGGAGGCGGCGTTTGAAAGGAGTGGCAAGAATGTAGGTGGATCTGTGCCGGGAAGGACAGGCCACGCGCAGGCGCCCCAGGACGGATGTGGACGTGAAGCAGGCCGCTGAGTGCAATGGAGCAGAGCCAGCGGGGGGCGGGGGTAGGGGGGAGAGGGAGCCGGCAAAGGAGATGGACTGTCACCGGGAATGGTCACCTTGCCACACACCTGCGTGACCTTGAGCCGGGGGCCCGCCCCTCCCACCTCCGAGACTTACAAGAAGGAGAAACAAGAGCCCAACGAGCTTCCGGCCGTGGCACAAGCTCCGCGCCTGGCAGGGCTCATGGCTTAGCCCTGGCACCTTCCTTCGCAGAACGCAGGCGGGCCCCGAAGTGCCCTCCGGCTCCAAGATCCGGTGCATCCGTACACAATGCTGGTTCTTCACTCTGCACACGTATCACACAAAACAGTTTAAACAGCAGCATGCACTGACACTCTTAAAGAAAGCAAGACGAAAGTGGAGAGTGAAAAGGCTGTTTACTTCCAGAGACCGTTGTGGTAAGTCACAGACAGAGGATGACACGCATCTGAAAGCCGCAGCCCAGGAGCAGCCAGGATGTGAAGGGAACTTGGGACTGGGCTTCGCTGGGCCACTCGGTCACCTGGGACTTCAGCAAGTCCCTGCGCCCTGCTGGACTGCAGCTTCCGCCCTGGGATCGTTTTCACACTTTTAGACTCTAGCCATGGAACAATTTTTATTATGAAGAAAATTCCAAGCATGGTTTCTACTAAATGCACATCACTTCCACACTATGTCAAAAAATCCCGAGTCAAAGCATGGTAAAGTGGAGGCGTCTGTATGCTCTGTTCTGTTTCGGCTGCTCTCAGTACGGTTTCTTAATCCCTCTTTATCCCCTCGTCTTACTACTGCTGCTATTCCCTCCTCTAAGCTTTCTTCCAGGGAGAGTCTATCCACTTCCACAGATGAGGCCCCAGATTGTACCTCCACCCCTTCTAATGGCTTTCCAACAACTCGATGTTCCCAGGGCGCTCCGCACACGCAGCTCTGCCCTCCAGGTGTCTACCCGCTCTCACACTCCCTCTAATCCTCGACCCCAGTCTCTCCCCATCGCTCGTCCACAGTCTCGCCATCTCTCTTCTGGGTCTGTCAGTACCTTTCCTGCTGGTCTTCCCACCCCTAGCTCCTCCCTGCCCTAAATCCATCCTCCACACTACTGCCAGGATGATTTTTCAAAAGAAAAATTTGATGATCGTTACACCTCTGCTCAAAGTCTTTCAATGGCTAACCATGGCCTAGAAGATCAAATCCAACTTCCAGCTTAACGTACAAGGAATTTCTCATCTCATCTCAACCCACCGACATCTCTGGCCTCATTCTTGATGACGCCCTTTTCAAAGTCTCAGCTTCAAGGAATTCTCACTGCCCCAGAACTGCCCAGGCTTCACCCGCATTCGAGGTGCCCCTATACTAATCACACTGCATTAACTACCCATCAGTCTCCACCTCCAAATTCTTACCTTCTCGTCGACAGAGAGCGTTGTGTTACTCACACTTGTACCTCCCAGGTCTGTAATAGCATCCTCTGTGTGGCAATCCCTCCGTGAACGTTAATTAAACGAAGGGGAAAAAATCAATTATTTGTTTCTGAGCCTTGAAAGAAGAGGAAAGTGGTATCTTGGAAAAGGACCTTGAACAGAAAAGGTTTCATCCCTGTCTCAGTAAACTCTAACTTATATTTCCATTAAGACACCAACACAAGTAATAACACTTTATTATTCCTATACAAGGCAGCTAGCGATTTGACCATATGTAGCCTAGAAATGTTCAAGGTCCCACTGTCCCTGCCAGACTTTGTTCCGTATTTTCCCTGATTAACATAAAGTAAACTTCTCCAGAGCATAATCACTTAGATGCTCTAAAAACAGTGTCTGATTTTTTTCAGTCCACTAAGATATTATTTAGAACTTTTCCATTGCTGAGTATTTCTCAGCCCCTGAGAAACACAGTGCCGCTTCCAAAAGGCACTGACATTCTCAGGATTTGCCTGTGAGCTGGGACAACTTGGTTATGTACAATCGACCAAGAACAGCTTGGGCTTTAAATTTTCCATCACTGGCGGAATTTCCTCTGTTCAAGTTGACCCCAAAGTTTAATTTAGATTGTGCAGAAAGAACGTGTTGATCGACTGGCCATTCCATCAGGTGCGACTCACCAGGTGACATCAGCTAAATCTGCAGCTGTCCGGGGCAGATTAAGGTGGACTGAACTGATCTTATTAAACAGGAAGAACAACTAGAATGTGAAATCAGATCAAAGGTGCTTCTGAGGGAAGACAGGAACACAAATCCTGCAAATGAATATTTCAGCACAGCACGGATGGTCATTTAATTCGAAGACTCTGGTTTGCCAGAGAAAGTCAGCGAGCGGAACACGTAGCTGATCAATCTTAATGCGAGTCTAATGGCTAAAGCGATCCTGAGGGGTGTCACGTGCAGACCGAGAAAACAAGCACAATGACACAGCGGTTCTCAAAAGGCCTGCAGACAACTGCAACTGGATAAAGAAGGAAAAGGGAAAAGAAAATCCAGTTGAAAGAGCTGATCTAAAAATTAGGTTTAGAAAGTGTATTTTTTCAGTGAAAAGGGCCCATCCTATTATAAATCCTGACAAGCTCAACTACTTTAGAAAAGTGTCAAAGCAGGTGATAAGGCAGCTTGGCAGGATGGGAGTGGGCAGGACACGGGGGGCTGTCCGGCACCGTGGTGCTGAGGGGAGGACTGAGCGCGGCCCAGAGCTCGGTGGGGCACCCAGGAGGGCACAGATGCCCAAAAGCCAAGTGTTCAAATACCCGGCAGGTCAAAACCCCAAGCAGGCAAGTATGGAGGGTTACGAAGAGTGGCTGGGGTGAGGGAGAGGCCGCGGGCCTTGGAGGGCTAGCACAGCAGCTGGTAAAGAAGGAGTAGGTGTCGGAGGGTTTCTTCTTTCCTAGCAGGTGCCAGCGATGCAGCGGGTGAGGGGGCAGCCCAGCCCCACTTCAGGAGGAAGAAGCCAGGGCAGGGCAGGGAGGAGACCGAGAATTTGGGAACTGAGACACACCCGGGAGCGCTAATAACTTCTCGGATATCCAAGCCAGTTTGGGGATTTCAATCACTCAAAAGCACCTTTTGATCGATGACTCCCCAAACTATGTCCTCAGCCCTGCACAGCTCCCTGAGTTTCAGACTCACCTACCCAGCGGCACCTTGACAGCCCCGCCGGGAACGTCTCAGCCTCCTCTAGACCATGATGTATCGGAACAGAACGCTCTGTTCTCCGCCCCACCCGACCCGCTGCGGCCCCAGTCTTCCTGGCCCCGTAAATCACATCACCGTCTGCCCAGCTGCTGAGCGAGGAGCCCTGCTCGCTGCTCTCTTCCTGTCACCTATTCCCACTCCAGCCCGCCAGCACGTGCCGCCAGCGCCGCCTCCGAGTGCATCCCCAGCCCTCCCACCGCTCTCCGCTCCCCATCGCTGTCGCCCGGTCCAGGCCGCCGCTACCCTGGCCTCCGAACCATCTCCCTGCTTCCACCTCTGCCCCCAAATCATTCTTCCACGGCAAACCCAGCCAGACCGATACTTCACGAGTGCGGATGAGGCCACGTTCCTCTCCTGCCTCACCCCACCAGTAACTTTCCTTTATCCCGACCATCACATCCACTAGGCCTGTCGCACCCCCCAAGTCCCAGTCTTAATGCTTGCGGTGCCCTCTTTCTGGAATGTTCTCTCTAGACCAAAAGTTTCCAAAACATGTCCCCAGCCGGCAGCAATCGCCCCTCCTGGGAACTTGTCAGCAACGCAGCACGTGCTGGGGTCCCATCCCAGACCTACGGAGTCAGAAACCCAGCAACCTTGAGCCACAGCCCCAGGCGAGACAGCTGCTCCAGGCCAACACGGGGGGCCTGGTCCTCGGGTTCATTCAGATGCCCCCCCCTCGGAGAATCACATCACCTCTCCCTCCCTCCCTCCCGCTCATGCTGTTTCATTTCATTCAGAGCACTGGCGTTACTGTGAAACTGTTCTGTTTTACATGTTCGTGTCTGGTCCCCCTTCTCCCCACCTCCCACCTAGAATACAGGCTCCAGGAACACAGGGACTCTGTTCTCTGTCGTGCCCTGTGTACCTAGAGGGACTCGGTAACTCCACAAGCACAGATGGAATGCGTGCAATCCAGGGGGGGGGCCCTAAGCCACAAGATGCGCATAGTCACACTCTCCTCCCTGAGAGAGCCGCCCCGGAATGACCTGGAGGGTAAAACACGGGGCTCCAGGTCCACCCCAGAGCTCCTGAGCAGCAGGCCCGGGGTTGCTCCCCTGACAGCCCCCAAGTGAGGCCGACCCTGCTGACCCGGGACCAGGTCGAACATCACAGCTCTAGCTGAAACCATCACAGGGGTGCTGAGAGTACTCGGCGGCACAGACCCCCAGGGATTCCTCCTTACCTCACGGCACGCGTCTGCTTTCCAGATCTCACAGTCCCCCGCCCCGTCCTGACCGGGCCAGACAGGCAGCCTGGGGCAAGGCCCGCAGGAAACTCAGGAGGGGCTGCAGCGTGATGAGGGTGACCCACCGGCATGGCTGGTCCCTGAGGCAGAAGGAGTGGACGTCACCTGGGGAAAGAGGAATTCTACTGAAGAACTGAGCTGGGGTTCGGCTGAAAGGAACTTTCCGGTCCAGTTCAGAGGTTTGGTTGGTAAGGAAAGGGGAGGCTTGGGAAAGCTGTAAGCATCAGATCTGGGTTTTGAAAGATCATTTCAAGGAATAATATGGGCCACGGATCGCAAGGAGGAGAAAGCAAACGCAAACTTTTAGAGCAGTCTCTGCATAGGAAATATTCAAACATAGGACATCTGTTTGGGAAGTCTGGGTTTTATTCACCAAATTTGTTTAAAGCTGTGTGAGCACGCACTGCATTTTAATCTGATGAAACAAAGGATGTAGATCAACTCAATACTGGTTTCCTTTCTGCTGGAAAATGTCCTTAAGAACCCAGTGATGTCTGTCGGAGCCCAGGGGCAGGTCACAGATGTGCAAGCACATCTCCTGAAATGGGCTCATCTCAAAAGATTGGCTTTGTTTATTTAAGGCTTTCAGCACCAGCAAGTATTCACTGAAAGAGGCCACAGGAAACAGGAGAGGCAAACTCTCCGCCCCACCCGACCTGCTGCGGCCCCAGTCTTCCTGGCCCTGTAAATCACATCACCGTCTGCCCAGCTGCTGAGCGAGGAGCAGGGATCGGGATTTTGACTCTTTGCAAAATGTAGAAAATTCATTGTAGGGTGGAAAGAAAATCATACAACAAATGTCATCCACAAAGGCCTGAACGATGCAAAAATACAGGGAAAAAAAGGGTAATGGAGGAAGAGGTAAAGGGTAAAGGAGAGGTGGAAAGAGTGATTGTGTGTCTTCTTAAAAACACAGACACTTTCATTATAAATAAAACCATAAATAGGTGTATGCAATTTTTAATTGTTTGTATTAATTCTGGCAGTCCTGCAAGTTCTTCTTGTTTCATTGACATGGTTAGAAGTCTTCACACACTGCATCCCATTGCTTTCGTCCTAGGTGAGCCAAGGACCCGCGGGAGAGGGTAGCCCAGGTCTTGGGCTGAGCGCGGGCCCCGTCGGTGGGCACTGGCGCTTCACCCGGTGTGGAGAGAGAGGTCCAGCTTGCAGCACCGCTGGGCGTTTTCATGGGATCACATGCTCACACATCACTTTTCATGATGGCATAGCACTTAACAAGTCCCATGTTATTTGCTGACCTAGAACGGTGAGCTTTCTTAGGGCAGGGATGGGAGCCTTGATTTCTGTATCCCCAGGTACAGTACACAGTAGGCACCCAACAAATACCTGATGAACAGGTAAAGGAATTTTTCTGACAGTGTCTCAGATACATCATTGCAAACCGAACTTAAAAATCATTGTTCAGGGACTTCCCTGGCAGTCCAGTGGTTAAGACTCTGCGTTTCCACTGCAAGAGGAATCCTGGTCGGGGAAATAAGATCACCCATACCGCGAGGCATCGCCAAAAAAGTTTTAAAGTAAAAAAAAATTTATTTTTTTAATTCATAAATAAAATGAAATTTTAAAAAATCATTGTTCAGACCTGTCAGTGGCTGCTCAGGGATTCCACATGAATCAGGTATCGATCAATCTGTTTTATATATTTATAAATGTTTTATTAAAAGGTCCAGGTTTATATGTGACAAATATGCAGGCAGAAAATAAAGTATAGCTTTTTAAAAGATATTATTCCGTTCTATCTTGACACTAAACAAAAAGACTTTTAAAATGAACATTCTTATTATCTTGAAGTTCCTTTGAACATTTTTTTAGTGACAGTCTCATTTATGTGTCAACTGATTCAACCTCTTCCTGACATTGTCATTAAAACCAATTTCAATTCTCCCTTTCTTTCTCTACAGACAGAATATATACTTAAAAACTTAAATAGATATCATCATTAAGGCAGGTTTATTTTGAATCTATAAGATATGACCAATCTACCTCTCTCCAACATCACAGTAAGTACAGATCATATGTTATGTTTTCTAACCATACACTGAAGAGATATATAAATGGAAAACACCATTTATATATCAGGTCTGCCTTTATCAATTCATTTCTATTCATTGTTATTCATTAGAAACCTAGGTTTTCATGAAACTTAAAACAGAAATTCCAAAGGTTAGCTCTTCTCTTCCCTACTCAGATAGACAGAAAGGATGCCTCTAGACTAGAGACAAACTTTAAAGCCCTTTCTAATAAGCCAGACACTGTATAACAAAAACCTAACCCTTAGAGGCTCAATATCAAGGTGATATTGATGAAAGAGCATAGACAAAGCACTACGCAAATGTAAATCCCAGGAAAACCTAATTCTCCTGGGCTGTTCCCTGGAGTGTTTTTCTTGCTGGTTTACGTGGCTGCCTTCCTGTCCTAAATGTTACCTGCAGAGGGTTCTGCCCTGACCCCCAGTCCAAGCTGGACGCCCCCTTATTTGATCCTCTGCACTGTTCGGGTCACTCTCAGAGATTTTACTTGTTCATCAGTTACTAGCTGGCGAGCTAGCTTCCCCACTGGAATGTCAGCAGGATCCACTAGACTGCCAGTTCCTGAAAGAACACTTGCAGCTCTGAAGCCTTCCCATAAATATTTGCTGAATGACTGAATATACCCACCAAACAGCTGATGCTGAAGAGGTTTTTATCTCAAGACTCCCTGGGCTTATTGACTATTCAATAAATATTTACTGAGTGTCTAATCTCCAAGAACCATTCTAGGCTCTAAAGACACGTTAGTAAACAGAATAGAAAAGCAGGGCTACCCTGGTAGCGCAGTGGTTGAGAGTCCGCCTGCCAATGCTAGGGCACGTGGGTTCGTGCCCCGGTCCGGGAAGATCCCACATGCCGCGGAGCGGCTGGGCCCGTGAGCCATGGCCGCTGAGCCTGCGCATCCGGCGCCTGTGCTCTGCAACGGGAGAGGCCACAACAGTGAGAGGCCCGCGTACCACCAAAAAAAGAAAAAAAAAAAAAATAGAAAAGCAAAATCCCTTCTCTCACGGAACTTGTATTTTGGTGCAGAGAGACAGACAATAAATTAACACAGTAAGTAAATAAAGTATGTTAGAACATAAGTGCTTGGGAAGAAAAAGAGCAGAGTGAGGGTGGTCGGGTGCCGAGATGGAGAGTAAGTGTCCCGGTCAGATGTTACAGGCTTAGTTCATGTCTTGCTTTCAACTCACCAAACAATCTTTAAACGTATCTCATTTGAATCTCGCCATAACTCTGTATGCATCTTCACAAAGTTTCGAAGAATAGTACTGAGTGTCAGGAGCCCTCCGGTGTGGGCTTCCTTTTGCCTTTAACCACTTGTATGAATTCGGTGGAAAAACCCTTCTGGGCCTCAGTTTCTTCATTTGTAAAATGAAGGGGTTAAACAAAATTATAAAATCCTTTCAGGCCTGGAAATATTTTAATGACAATGTGGAACTTTACAGAAAGTTAAGGAACACCTGTCTTTTGGCCTGGAGAAAAGGCTTCCCTCGAGACCCCACCCCACGTGACTTGGACGGATTCACGGACACAGCCCTTGTTTCCCTATGGCAACACCAGACCCTGCACATCCCCATCTCTGCCTCGTAAATGATTAGTTGAACGTTTGTCCTCCCTGATCAATCGGAACTGAAAACTTGTTATCCACAGTTTGGTTCAGACCCTCTCCCCTGAACTCTGGCTTATCCTCAGCTGGAGCAGCAGGCAGACCCCATGAGAATCGGCTGGGCTCCGGAGAACCCCTTCTCTGATCTCCCAGCCAACCAGGCCACCCTTTATCCCACTTTTCCCACCACTGGCTCTTTCTAGCCTTGTTTACTTCTCCTTAGGAAAGAAAAATCCTTTCTGCCTAAACCTTGAGACACCTGCAAACTCATGCTCAGAGCATTCTCGATACTGCAACAGGCCCCTCCCCTACTACAAAGCCCCTCCCCTCCTGCAACAAGCCCCGCCCCTACTGCAACAGGCCCCTCCCCCACTGCAACAGCCCCTTCCCCTACTGCAACAGGCCCCTCCCCCTACTGCAGCAGCCCCCTCCCCCTACTGCAGCAGGCCCCCTCCCCCTACTGCAACAGCCCCCTCCCCCCACCCCAAGTAAATGGGAACTAGTGTCCCATCTGCTACCAATATCAAAGGGGCTGTTCCCATTGCAAGACGCAGAGCACTGCACCCTAAAGTCCTCCTCACCAGATTCGCTCTCTAAATCTCACCTTCCAGGTCTCTCATCACCCCCACAAACGTTCATTCCTCTGCCTACTGCTTCTTATGAAAATCGATACCTGCCCTTTATAAAGTCAGTCCCATGTTCCGCCTGAGCTTCTCCATGTGCATCTCCACTCCTTACCCCATCAACTGAACTGAGACTCAGTTCTGGAAAGGGTCCTGGGAGCCAAACAACAAAACCCTGAAGCTTCCAAGAAGGTAGAGACGGAGGGGAGTGGTGAGCACCGGGTTATGTGCAGGTGCAGCTGGTACAAGCTCAACTACACACCTGGGTGTAGGGGCATCGAAACGGTGCCAGAGAAGGGCTGCCTGCTCGCCCAACGAACATAGACCCCCCCAGACCTTCTCACAGCCTAAGCCCCTCCACTGTGGTTCTACTGTTTGAAGACACGTCGTTCGGTCAGCATCCTCTATAAACGTGAGACAGTTCCATCAGATGCTCACTGAAGAAAGAAAAGCCCACAGGGTTGGCCTCCCTGAGAGATAGATAGCATGAGTCCCTTACATGGCCCTTCTTCAGGGACTTTCAAGGACAATTTTGTCGTCATGAGACTTCGGCTAACTTTATGTTCAGATTTTAGAACCTAGCCCCAAAGGGAGAAGATAATGACATCTATGTAAATAAACTGAAGTTTATGTTTGTCTATCACTACAAGACACAAAAACAGCCAGATGGGTTTTGGGGATTTGTGGGTATTTTTCAACTAAATTCGGAGAGTTCCGAATTGGGGCAGAGGCATCTCAGAGAGGTCATTACCCCGCAAAGCAGAAGTCAGAACTATTAGGAGAAACATGGCATATGGACTAAAAAGCTACAGCCAAGACACGCCG